AGCCCCCCAATTCATCTTTTTTAAAAAAATTTTATATGTATAGGGCTGGGGATGTGGCTCAAGTGGTAGTGCGCTCGCCTGGCATGCGTGTGGCCTGGGTTCGATCCTCAGCACCACATATAAACAAAGATGTTGGGTCCGCCAAAAACTAAAAAATAAATATTAAAATTCTCTTTCTCTCCTCTCTCTCTTAAAAAAATTTTATATGTATACATATATTTTAGTTATATATTTATTTATATTTGGTGCTGAGAATTGAACCCAGTGCCTCACACATGCCAGGCAAGTGCTCTAACCACTGAGCCACAACTCCAGCCCCAAATTTATCTTAATATTATTGTCAAGAACATACCTGTTACCAAGATCCAGTAATAAAGCTCCACCTATCACTCTAATGCTTTATTTATGGTTGCTGGAAAACTACACAGGGAAAACTGACCAGGGTCTCACAAGGGAGATCATGGCAGTTACAGCTCATGATGGCTTCAGTCATGTCAAACTCAATCCATGAAATCAATCTGTTCTAACACATCTCTGAGTAGAAACTTGTGTTTTCAACTTTCTTGTTCTTTGGAATAAATATCAAGAATTCAACTGCTAGATTTTAAGAGCATTTACCTGTCTCTTAAAATAGATATATCCTGATGTTTTGCATTTTTTTTTTTTTTTTGGTACTGAGGATTGAACCCAGGGGCACTTTACCCCTGTGCCACATCCCTAGACCATTTTATAGGTAGAGATAGAGTTTTGCCAAGTTGCTTAGAGCCTCAATAAACTGCTGAGGCTGCCTTTGAATTTGCAATCCTCCTGCCTCAGCTGCCAGGAACACTGGGATTACAGGAGTGCACCATTGCATGCATGGCTCATTGGTCTTTTTTTTTTTTTTTTTTTTTAAATCTCCACATACTTTCTAGCCACTTCCATGGTAGCCTCTTTTTATAAAGATGTATTGACAAGGTATCATTATGTTGCCCAGGCTAGGCTGGAATTCCTGGGCTCAAGAAATTCTACTTAAGCCTCCCAAGCAATTGGGACACCAATTGCGCCTCATTGCACCAGGCTAGTCTCCCTTGTTTGGAATGCTAATCTCTCTTTCCAATTACATGCTAGTTTTTTCTACCTAGGTGATCCTTGGGGACCTCAAAACTGACATGTGCTAAATGAGACTCATGTCTTTGCATTATATCAGCATCTCTTCCTAGCATTCCTGTTATTCTGTTAATGACTTAGAGGGGGAAGATAGGAAATCATTTCTTTTTTTAAAATTCTCCCCCAAAGAGCTCCAAATCTGTTGAGCTGCAAACAAATGTTTGTGACTTTTCTGTGTAGTGCCATTCCTATTTGTCCTTTTCTTTCTATTCACTCTGCTACCATAATTTACCGGCCTCTTTAATCATTGCTAGACAATACAATACTTATTCGTTATTTATTTATTTATTGGCAGTGTTGGGGATTGAAATAGGGCCTTGTGCATGCAAGGCAAGCACTCTACCAAATGAGCTATATCCCCAGACCCTTAGTCTTTTTTTTTTTTGGTACCTGGGATTAAACCAAGGGGCACTTAACTACTAAACTATGGAGCTACATCCTAAACACTTTTTGAGACAGGGTCTTGCTAAATTGCTGAGGCTGGCCTTGAACTTTGGAACCTCTTGCCTCTGCCTCCTGAGTCTCTGGGATTACAGGTGAGCACCAGCAAACTTGGCACTTATTAGTCTTTCTAAAGTACAACCATGATAATGTCATCCTTCATGTAACATCATCAGAATAAATAGCTCCCTAAACTGGGGGTGTAGCTCACTGGCAAAGCAAGCTTGATCCATGACTTGGGTTCAGGCCCTAGCACCAAAACAAAATAACTACCATGTGCTCACACAATACAAGGCAAACTTTCATCTTGTCATCCAATGCCTTCTCCCCCCCTACCTTATATTTTTTAAAATTTGAAATAGTTTCTTGCTAAATTGCCCAGTTTGGCCTTGAATTTGTAATCCTTCTGCCTCAGCCTCCCGATTCACTAAGATTAGATAAGTGTACCCCACTCCTGGCCATCCAATGCTTTTCATAATTTGCTTCCAATTTTTAATTCCACATCTGTACCTGCCGCCATCCCCACCCCCAAGTTTGGCAACAGGTTTTTATAGAATACAAGGTGCTAGGAATCCATTGGGAAACAAAACAGACAAGGTCATTAACCTGTGAAGCAATTCCTTTTCAGAGTTGTTCCTGCTTCCCGAATTTGAACTTGAACCTGGTCCAACTCTTTTGCCCCGTTTATCCTAGACCAGGCACTTTCTAAGAAATTACCTGCTACTATCCATGGCGATTCCTAAAGTGCTGGGCATCCAACTTAGCGCCTTATGCCTACTGGGCAAGTGCTCTATCACTTAGCTATATCCTCATCCAGAGGCCCATTTGTTTTTTTTACCCCAGGTTTAAATAGATTCAAAATGTCCCAGGAATTAGGCTTGCCTGAGAAAGGGGCAAGATAGAGCAGAATAAGTTGATTTCAGTGAGAAAGGCCTGCCATTACCAAAAACCATTATAGCCTCTCGCTTTCTCTTCCCGCAGGCCAGGCCTCGGCCCTCTATCGTGGTCAAGGCTCTTTCGCTCCTTCTCTTCAGGCGCAGCCTATGCCAACCTTGTCTCCAACCTCCCTTGCTCCCTCGGGAGGGTTCTCCCTTACCGAAGTTGCAGTTCCCGCCTTGGTGCTGGAAAGCCCGCTGAGCTGACGGAGGAGGAACTTTTCACTGGTTCCAGCCTCTTCTGGCGCGGAGCTCCAGGACCCGCCCCCCGCGCCAGTTGCCAGGGAGCGGTTGCCATAGAGCTGAGCAGTTGTCCGCGTGCGCAGGCGGAAGTCCCGGATTGAGGCGCCGCCATTTTTGCTGCCCGGACGCGGAGCGAGAGGCTGAGAGAGTCGGAGACGCTATCCGCTTCCATCCGTCGCGCAGACCCTTCCGGAGCCGCTGCCGCTATGGATGATCGGGAGGATCTGGTGTATCAGGCGAAGCTGGCCGAGCAGGCTGAGCGATACGACGGTGAGTTGGGGGGGCAACGGGGAACTGGAATTCTCGGACCCTCTGCCGCCGCCCACAGAGGCCGGGAACAGGAGACAAAATGGCGGCATCGTCTCCGAGCTTGGCCTGGGGACGTGGATTCGGGAAGTAGGAAATGGTCTGTGTGCTCCTGGAGCTATGGGAGGCCCCACCGCCCAGGGATTTGACCCTGTCTCTGTCCTCAGCTGCAGACACTCTTGAGGCGGGAGGCCGAGGTGATAGGGTGGAGGTGTTGGTTGTAAAATGGCGGCTGGGGGGGAGGGCGAGTCCCCGGGCGGGGGAGGGGGAGGAGATGGCGGGTGCTGTCTCCGGGCGAGCAATCCCCAAGGGAGCTTCTGGGACAGCCTTGAGATATGATGAACAATTGGGTGGGATGAAGGGGGAAGAAACACCCGCCACATGGGGGAGAGAGCGGAGACTGGGAGCTGTAGCGCGGGCGCCTTTCAGGGAAATATGGCGGGTGGGGGCGGTGGCTTTTCCCCGGAGGCCCAGTGTGGGGCGGCGGCTGTGGAGTCTCACAAAGGAGAATCCTTCCGAGCGGAGGGCTTCTTTGAGCTTACTGTGGTGGGTAGTCTTATGGGAGAGTGGGAATCACAGCAGATCATCCTTGGGTGGAGGCAAGCCGAGGTGGTGCGATCCGATTTCTTGCCTTAGGCTGGCACACCTTGCAGTGCGGGGTTTTGGGCTTTTCAGCCTCGTGCACCCTTCCCTCGGACTAAATGGCAGAGGCCAAAGTTTCTGTAGTATTTTTCAGGCTTGATGAGCACTAGGTTCTGATGGATAGAACAGGAGACAAGGGGACCATGACTTCTTAGTTCTAGCCTTTGTAATGCCCGTGCCTCCGTCTACCCATTTGTAAAAATGTTGACTTAACTGTACGCACCATTATGACACATGGAAAGACCTGTGGAGAAATAACGTTATTTCAAATAATGTTCGGTAATTGGATTTTGGTTGACTTCCCAGGCTTGGAATGCGTGTTCCTACTTCGTGTTGGGATCTTAACGTATTCCAGGCAGTCAGCTGAGGTTTGGGGTTTGGGATTATGAATGTAGGAGATCCTACTATTTTCTTGTTTTCATTTTAACTACATGATTTTACCCACAAATTTCTTTGCTCATTTGGTTTTGAGAGGGTTGGTGCTGGGAATCAAACCCAGCATTCTCTACCACTGAGCTAACACCCCCATCCCCCTATTCATTTGATTTTTTTTTTTTAAGTCCTTCTTTTAGAACTTTATTATGTCTGTCTACTCAGTTATAGCAGTTTTATTGTTTAATCCCACCTCCCAATGGTCCACCACGTTTGGGATCTAGATACTTGAGTTATCCCCACCTCTGTTAAACTAGCACTTAAAAAGGTAAAAAATGAGGCTACGGGTTTTAATGCTTTTGTGAAGAGAGGTGGGATGAGCCGTTTATTCTTAGGGTTTTCTTAATATTTAAGCCACTTTACACTTTTCAAAATATTATGTAGTGCCTCTCCTTTGAATGCCAATTTGGTCATGTGAATAACTTTAGGGTCAATCCAGGTGTGTATCATCAGAAATTAGCGTTGTGGAATTTGAAAAGGAGAAAAGGTCTCCAAAACTCAAATTTAGGAAAGTTAGCTGATTGAAATTTTGTGTTGTGGATTTTTAAATTGCTGTTTATATTGAACAAGTCCCTGATGGCAGGAGGAGGGGAATAAGATGGGGAAGTACAGCTCAAGGTCAGCTTTGTCTTTATTTCAAAGTGTTTAAAAATCAAACAAGTGTATGTGTGCTTTTATGGAAGTCCCACTGGCGGCCCCCCCCCCCATACTGCACATAGGTTCCCTTGATAATCTTCTGCCCTTGGGAGGAAACTTGAAGTTATATTTGCACGCTTTCTGATTTTGGGGTATTTGGGCTGTGAATAAACTTGATATAGTAACCGAAAAGCAGGTAGGAGAAGTTTCTTTTTTTTCCCCTCCACTATTTATTTTTATTTTTTTTTTAACTCCTTTAAAAAACTGATTTGGAAGCCCATGATAGTAGCTTCTAAATAAATGACAGATTTAATGATCATCATTTTTGTGATTTGAGTGCTGAGTATTTTTGACCAAAGCTCTTCATAGGATTCTTCCTTTAAGATAAAGCCAAATATTTGTTTTGTTCCTATCAGGGTTTAAACAGGGAAGAGAAAATAGGATATATAGGGTTTACAAGGTACTCCTGTGACTTAGGGCGCAAGGAAGGGATTCAGTGGAAAAGTAGTAGAGGAAGACAGTCACTGGAAATTGCCCCCTGTCCACTACTTTATTGACTGCAATAATTAATTTTGTTTGAAGGGATACTAATAACTAGCTACCACAGAACTTATCAGGTGTGGGGAGTGAGAGTGCATTGTAATAATTTAGATTTTGGGTACTTGGTTATAAATGTTGATTTTTCATTAGCCCCTTCCCTTTGTTACTGCCTTAGGCTTATCTTTTATTATTTTGCATCTTGTAGAATCTAGTGCTTAAACTTCATTCTCATTTAATTCTAACCTGGAGAATTGAAGTTTTATGGAGAATTGAAATTAATAGATTAACTAATGGTACTCCAGAAAAAGCTAATTCAGGAATGAAATGATTTTAGGATTGCATATAAATGATACTGAAGTTTGGGGCTAGGGCTTTGATTAAATCTAACATCCCCTCCCTTATAAGTCAGTAGTCTTAAGAAATAGTTTTTTTGAATCATTTGCAGCCACATTAAGCAAGTCTCTTATCTCCAGAAACCAATCTTGCCTTGCCTTCCTATATATGAAACATACTATTATAGGAAAGTAAGGACAATAGAGGGGGAAAATGAATACTTCCTTCATTTTTGGCAGGGGAAAGGGGAGTAAAGATATTCACATACACTATTTTGGGGCTTGTATGGCAGTTGCTGTTCTTGTCCTTTCCTAACCTATCTTCACTTGTCAAGATTGGCTCTATGGGTGTTGGGGTTTTTTTAAAACAGGGGTATTAGGATTGAACTTGGGGGGCACTTGGCCACTGAACCACATCCCCAGCCCTATTTGGTACTTTATTTAGAGACAGGGTCTTACTGAGTTGCTTAGCTCCTCACTTTTGTTTAGGCTAGCTTTGAACTCCAGCTCCTCCTGCCTTAGCCTCCTGAGCTGCAGGGATTTCAGTTGTATGCTAGTGTGCACAGCTTGGTGGAGGTTTTGATAGTCGTTTTTGGCTCACTGAATATATCAACACCAGAATTTCTGAGAAACTTTTTGAGTTGTAAGAACTCTAAAGCCTCAGGGGTTGGGTTGTGGGATTGTGGCTCAAAACCTCAGGGATTGGGTTGTAGGGTTGTGGCTCAGCAGTAGAGCGTTTGCCTAAGCATATGTGAGTCCCTGGTTTTGATCCTCAGCATCACATACAAATAAAATAAAATGAAGGTATTGTGCCCACCTACAACTAAAAAAAAAAAGAAAGAAAGTGAGAACCCCAAAGCCTTAACAGCTTATTCTGCTGGTGGGTGCAAAATGGGGGCACGTTTTGAATGAACTCCTTAATAAATGTCTTGTTAAAGAAAAAATAGTGTTTAAAACCATTTAGACTACCAATTCTTAAATATAGGCCAGTAATAATTTTTTATTGCTATTTCAGTTAATGAGCTATATTGAATAAATTTTATTTTTCCTCCTGCTTAACTGCATAATAATTGATAACACAATTTTAAGAATCCCTTCTATAGGTGTTTTTAGACTTTGTAGAAGGGTTGCTCTTCCGTGTACTTTAGATTTTTTTTTTTTGTAGTTGAAGATGGTCAGAATGCCTTTATTTTATTTTATTTTTATATGGTGCTGAGGATTGAACCTAGTGCCTTAGGCATGCTAGGTGAGCTCTCTACAACTGAGCCACAACCCCAGCCCTTGTACTTTAGATCTTTGTACAGCATCATGCATACTTTATTTTTATTCTGGTTTACACAATTTTGGATTATGATGGAATCATTAAACATTGCAATTAGGAGGATGAGTACATTTTAAATACTGTAATTACTCTTAACCTTCCTATAAAATGGTCTGAATTTGAACCCTGGTACAGGAAGAACATTTATGACAAGTATTTAAGCTGAGCAAATTTTGGAATCAGTTAAGTGCAAGCAAATATTGAAAATCCATATAAACGGACTTTTCATAATTATTTTATAACTTGGTCAAAGGAATAGCATTACTATTTATTTAAGCAGTTGTAGGGATTGAACCCAGGGCCTTGCGCAGTTCAGGTAAGCACTCTGCCATTGAGCTACATCCATCTCCAGCCCTACAAAATAATTTTAAAGTTTCTCGTCTTTAAGCTGATTCTGATAAGTGAAATTTCAGCCCAGTAAATTAATGTATCTAATTTTATAAATTTGCTTTAATACTTTCAGAAGGTGATCTGAAGTATGAGTTCGGAAAAGATTATAATACTAACTTTGCAGGGAAGAAAATGAAGTACATGTGTATACACAAACTGACAGGCATAAGATAACGGCTAAATTTTAAAACTTTTATGTTGTATTTATTAAATACTATTTTATTTTTGTACTAGGGGTTTAACCCAGGTATGCTTTACCACTGAATCATATCCCCAGCCCTTATAAATTTTTTATTTATTAGCTAGGCACAGTGACGCATGCCTGTAATCCCAGCGGTTTGGGAGGAGCAAATGTTCAAAGCCAGTCACAGCAGTGGCAAGGTGGTAAGCAACTCAGAGAGACCCTGTCTCTAAATAAAATATAAAAATGGACTGGGGTTGTGGCTCAGTGG